CCTTTTAGCTAGACAAATTAAAAAATTAATAAGAAAGAAAGCCACAAAGAATCTAGAAGAAAATTTAGGTGAAGATTTAGTTTTCATGTCTTAGGACAGGACAGGACTTTCTCAGCAAAAAAAGGATAAACTTAAAGTTAAGCATATAAAAAACAGAAAAAGTGGCACCTGGGTGGCTCAGTCAGTTAAGGGTCTGCCTTCGGTTCAGGCCATGATTTCAGGGTCCTGGGATGGAGCCCCATAGTGGGCTGCCCGCTCAAGGGGGAGTCTGCTTCTCCCTCTGCCTCTCCAACCCCCCAGCCCCCACTCACACACGCTCTCTCTCTCAAATAAATAAATAAAATCTTTAAAAAGAACTTTAAAAAAATAAAAAATAGAACAATATTTAAAAGCAAACAACTGGGAAAATACCTGCAACAGATATGACATGTAAAGGATCAACATCCTTAACATACGCAGATCACTAAACAATAACAAATCAATAAACAATAATAAGCAAACACTCCAATATAAAATTAGACAAAGGACAGCAGGCAGGTAACTCAAAAAGAAGAAAGTTAAATGGTCAATAAACAACTGGGGAGATACACAATGCACTATAATAAAAAATGCAAATTACAAAATGTCACTCTTGATCAATCGTACTAAAGATTAAATAATGACACTCTTTAATGCTGGCCAAAGTTGTAGAGACAGATACTCCCCTGCCCTGGAAGTAATAGGATTAGTATAATCTTTTTTTTTCTTTTTCTTTTTTTTTTTTTTGAGAGGGAGAGAGGCAGGGGAGAGGTGGGGGGAGAAGCACAGAGAGAGGGAGAGAATCTTAAGCAGGCTCCAGGCCTAGCTCAGAGCCCAAGGGAGGGCGGGGGCTCCATCTCACAACCCTGAGATCATGACCTGATTTGAAATCAAGAGTTGGACACTTAACCAACTGAGCCACCCAGGTGCCTTAGTATAATCTTTTTGATACTAATTTGTCAATATACACCAAAATCCTTCAAAATATACATATCCTTTGATTTGAAATAGCTCATAGTTGTCAAAGTGTGGTCAATGGACTCCAGTGGACTCCTGGAGTCCCTGAGACCCTCTCAGGGGTCTACAAAGTCAAAACTATCTTTATGGAACTAGTAAGACATGATTTACTTATTCCCTGTGTGAAATCTGCATGGATGATACAAAAACAATAGTGGGTAAAACTGCTAGCCCCTACGCATAAATCAAGGCAAACTGTTCTAGGAGTCACCGTAAATTTCACTGCAACACACTTGCAGGACAAAGAAAAAAAAAAAGCCAGTTTGGGACTCCTGGTTGGCTCGGTTGGTAGAGGATGCTGACTCTTGATCTCAGGGTAGTGAGTTCAAGTCCCATGTTGGGCATAGGGTTTACTTAAAAAAAAAAAAAAAAAGGCCAGTTTCATATAAGAATATCTTAAGATTCATTTATTAATTTTATTAAACCTCAACCTTTGAATACACATCCTTTTAACATTCTATATGACAAAGTAAGAAGCAAATACAAAGCACATCTACGGCATATATCAAAGTATGATGGCTGACTCAAGGGAGAACACTTACATGATTGTTGTAGAGCTGAACTAGCCACTTTTTCCATGGGACAACTTTTTTACTTGAATGAGCAATGAACAAAGTATAATTATTTAGATTTGGGTATCTGGAAGACATTTTCTGAAAAATAAACAATGTGAGCCTGTCACTTCAAAGAAAACAACTGATAATATTTGCTGCAATGATAAAATTTGCTTTCAAGGGAAAATTCAAATATTGGAAAACTCTGCACCCCTCACCATAAGCCTGACAGCTTCAAATCTTACATACTTTTCTGATGAGATCAGTGGGGATATTAATGAATATGATTTTTTGATAATGTATAATGAAAGGTGACAACATTTGGAAGATTTGCATAACTCACAACCAACATTTTACAAACAAACAATGCATGGATGATAAAAATCATGCATGGGTGAAAGATCCACTCAAAGTTCAAGACAGGCCAGTGGATTGTAATATAACAGAGTGAAAAGCTCCATGATATGGTTTCACATTCTACATTGTAAATTAACCTTTGAGAAAATACCACTTGTTAGGTTTTATGTAGTAACAAAAATATCCACATTATCTAGAAAGCCTATTAAATTATTCTTCTCTTTTCCAACTACATCTGTCTGAGGCTAGGGTTTCTTCATATTCTTTAATCAAAGCAACATATTACAACAGGTTGAATACAGAAGCAGATGTCTTCCTTCTATTTAAGACAGCCACTAAAGAGATCTGCAAAAGTGTAAAACAATGCCATTTTCTCACTACTTTTTTGAAATGATGGTTATTAATCATAAAAATATGTTAACACAAAATGGGTTTATTATTGTCATTTTTAAATAAATTATTTTTTTTTAATTTCCCAATTTTAATTTGTATTTTGGTACATATCAACAGATGTAATCTACGTAAACAAAAGTTCTTTGGGGTCTTTGAGGCTTATTTAGAGCATAAAGAGATCTGGAGACCAAAAGGTTTGGAAACTACGGATACAGTCACTCTCACATCTGTGAATCTAAAGTAAGAAAATAAGCAGAAGACTGGGCATTATATAACAACTACATCAGAAAATTAGAAAAACAAAACTTCTGATGTCCAATAATAAGAAAGTGGATGGTACATATAGAATGTGATATTATTATTTATTTGAAACAAATTGTGAAGAATTTTATGAGAAGTGCTCACAATATGTGAAGTAAGAACAGGAAGACCTACAAACTATATTAGTAGGGGCAGTATTACACTGAAAAAAAGACTACACGGAAATACATAAAATGTTAAAAGAACTTTTCTGGGCCAGGCAATTATGAATACTTTTTGTTTTCTTTACTGAGCATGCACAACTTTTAAAATCAGGAAGATAAAACTTTAGCAACTTTTAAAAAACATTTCCATACTGGGGAGCCTGGGTGGCTCAGTGTGTTAAGCTTCTGACTCTTGATTTCACCTCTGGTCATGATCTCGGGGGGGGGAGATGGAGCCCTGCATGAGGCTCTGCACCTGGCATGGAGTCTACTTAGGATTCTCTTTCTCCCTCTCCCCCTCACTCTTCCTCTCCCCCTGCTCCCCAACATCCACGCTCCTGCACATGCTCTCTCTCCCTCTCTCTCTCTCAAATAAAATCTTAAAAACAAAAACAAAACCATTTCAGTACTTTTTCTTTAGAACTCAGTGTATGCAAATGCCAACAAAAAATAATTGTCACTCTTACTATTATTAATATGAAGACTAATCCAGACAGCTTAATGTAGAATTCTGAACTGAAAGTCAAGAAACCTGTATTCTACATTGTTTTGCCATTAAACATCTCTGGGATTTTGACAAGTCACTTAACCTATTCGAACCACCAGAAATTATCTATGAGGTCCTTATCTGACTCTCTAGTAAAATGAACTACCAAATCTAAAGGTTGTTCAAGGCCTTTGCAACAACCACCTAGTGTAAAACAGTGCCGTTATGAAAACTGTGAAGTCAACTCCAAAAACCACACTGTTAAAAGAATTTCCACTCATGCTGCTAAATGACCCTTTAATCCCTTCTTTTGCAGAGTAGTACAGACTCTGTAAATAAAGTTTCCAGTGGAAGAAGAGTTAGTTATTCCCTGAATGGTATTTGGGAAAATTGAAAAATATTTGGCCATATCATGAATAAGGGGGGAAAAAAGCGTATAAGAGAATAGGCAAGAGAGCATGGTGCCCCTAACGAAGGGCATCCTTCATTAGTGTACTTCCTAAGTCCTCCATAAGCATATGGGGAGGTTACTTCTTATGGAGATAAGGTGACAAGGGAAAAAAAAAAAAGAGATAAAAAGAGGTGGGGAAAAAGAGGAGAGGAAAAGGGAGAGGAAAAGAAAGAGAAGCAAAAATACAGTAGTAATATGAGAACATAACAAGAGCTCCATCTTCAAACTGCCCAGAAAAATCTACCTATTCCCTCAGCCAACCAGCCTTCCCCCATTTCATTGTTCATTGACAGAGCTGGCAAGAGTTAATGAAAGAAAATTAAATTCCAATCTGTCAATTTTGTTCCTTGTTGGCAAGTTTGATAAAAGTCTTAAAAACTATAAAAGGAAAAATATTGCCTTTAATTATATCTGGAAAATATTAAAAATATTTTACAGATGAGGAAAACTGACTCCTTCAAAAAACAGAGGTCATAAAGACCTTTAATTTACTCTTCAATTTGTACTTTATTAATACCAATTATCCAGTAATCTCTCTTTCTTCAAGAAAACACTTCTTTGGTGATATCTGTGCAAGGGTGGGAAGTATGAACTACACCTGGAATGTGTGTATATATATATATATATATATATACACACATATATATATATTTTAACAACCATATATGTATATATATGTATATATGGTTGTTAAAATGACCAGTCTTGACCCAAGAGTGGAATCCCTAGCGCACCAGTCTCTGACTGGACTGACAAACACTTGAGATCACCTAATTGCTTTAGGGAGTCGAAGTTGAACAGTAGGAGGCCTCTTTAGGCCTGTGGTCCCTTGTTTGTTTCCAGGGGCCAATCGAAAAAGGTCTTCCATTTCCTCCTTCTGAATCTAAAATTTGCATTTCCACTTTGAGAGGGCCCGGCCACCTATCATTCATTCCTAGTATCTGTCAATTAACCAGACATTTATGAAGCACCTACTATGTGCAGCCATCACATAGAACACATCAAGTTTTCAATAAACGTTTCTGAACTTTAATTTAATTTCAAGGTCTTGGGAGACTGCCAGGGATTCATCCATTTAAGAGTCTCCTGTGGAAGACAGGTGAAAGAAGAAACCTTTTCACATCCTTGATCTCCCAACAACCAGACACTCTTGTTCCTCCCCGCTCATGTGTGACACGTGGCTCCTAAGCGCTGGCTGGGATGCCCAGGCACAGCTGCTGCGGGCAAAGCGCTGTGCGAGTGGAGAGACGGACACTTACCTGGGGAACCTCTGCTTCAGCTTCCTCAGGCTCTGCCTGGTAGGCGGTACAGACACTAGGCACTGGGCTATCTCGTCGTACTGGGCTTTGGTCAGTATCATGTTGGGCCAGGGACTGGAAAGTGGCGGGGACAAGGAAAACACACCCTGGGCTCCAGCAGCCTTGGTGCCGGGAGACGAGGGGTGGGCACACAGCGGCACGGCGCTGGCTCCTAGTCTTCTTTGGCTTGTTCCTATACCCCCTTCACCACTAGCTGCACAGCTTAGGCTTCACCCAGCTGCTCGGCGACGGGGGGAGGGCTGTAGACCCGATTGCCCTACCTTGGCTCTCTGAGCAGCCGCAGTGGGCCCGGCCGAAGGCAACCGGCCGCCATGATAGTTAAGGGCAAAACGACCAGGAAGTAGCTGCCGTCAACAGACGTGGCGCCTAAATCGTTGCGGGCTCCCGTCCAGGCAGTGTCCACCAGGGATCAACCTCCTTTGTTTGCTGAATTCACTCTCCCGGCTACCAGAAGTCAGGGAGCCCTAGCGCACAGGCCGGGCGGCAGAGCATAAAGGTGCCCCACGATCCTTAAGCTTGAGCCCCGGAAAGAGACTGCTTGGGCGCGCGATTTGAATACGCTTCCAAACGCGCCGTTTTAGCGCAGCTCCAATCGGAGGCCAACAAAGAAAGTCGTCTTCACCAAAGTCTCTCCGCACTCTGAGAGCAGGAACCTGGCAGTTAATCCCCACCGGGATAGCTGTGGACATACAGCTTGGCTTGTGCTGAGAAGTCCGACAACTTCTGCAGCTCGCGTGGAAGGCACTTTTGGTCATGTAGGGACACAGAATAGAAAACAAATCCGACATCATCCAACAGCCCCCAGTAAAGCACATAACTCACTCCCCAGAGTTAGGTGCTTACTGACTGAAATCAATTCTTACTCCTTTTTGTATCTTGACCTCTCAGAAAATAGTAGGCGCTCAAGAAATGTTTGGAGAAATGAGTCACTGAATGAATTTCTGTTTTCTTGAGGTGTTGTAATAGATCTCAGCCCTCCTGAGGCAATTTATTAGGACATCAGCCCTTTAATCCCTTTAAAAAAATCTGGTTCGGGTTGCCTGGGTGGCTCAGTAGGTTTTAAATATCTGCCTTCAGCTCAGGTTCTGATCTCGGGGTCCTGGGATGGAGCCCCACACTGGCTCCCTGCTCAGCACGGAGTCTGCTTCTCCCTCTCCCTCTGCCACTACCCCTCACTGGTGTGTGCTCTCTCTCTCAAATAAATAAATTTAAAAAATCAGGTTCTTAGAAGGCCATGTGTTTTGTTTCTTTTCAAACTTTATCATTTTAAGCAAAGAAATGGTGTTTCCATTTTAAAGTGTTTTGTTTTTGTTTTTGTTTTTGTTTTTAATCTGGAATAAGGCCTGGGTTGGAAATTTAGCTTAGATATGCTTTCTCAGATAAATGTCTTAATCCATCTAAGTCTTAGTTCCTTTGTCTGTAAAATTGATTTTTAATTCATGGCCTAAGAGAGTGTTACTTTTTGGTGTAGTAATTAAGCATTAATAGTTGACAAGACCACAATTAACATTAAATAAGTTAATACAAGGAACAGAAAGATTCCTTAGCATAGTGTCTGGCAGATAGTCTATGTAAGATAAGTAGCCTTTGTAAGACCACTTGACATAATGATAAGTCCCATGGATGTGGCTGTTGACCAGGTATCGTTTGTTCTCTACACATTGACTCACTTAATCTTCATAATTTCCTATGAAGCAGATCCTATTGCCATTATCATCCTCCTCCTCCTCCCTTTGGTGCAGGGTGAATAAACTGAGGCATGGAAAGGTCAGGGTAACTTTCCCAGAGGTCATGAGAACAAGTAAGCAACAGGGGTAGAGTTTAAACTCTCGAAATTTGGTTCCAGGGTCTGTGGTCTTGCCAACTCTTAATGCTTAATTACTACACCAAAAAGTAACACTCTCTTAGGCCAAAGGTTAAGGAACTTTTTTTTTGAAGGGAACAATCTCCATTTCAAAGAACCTTTCAGTCCAGGCTTTAAAAACGCTTCACCACTTTATTTTCCCAGGCGTCTCAAAATCCAGTATCAACAGTGAATCCTGAATTCAGCAACCCTAGTTTTGTTTTGTTTTGTATTTGTTTTTAATATTTACAGCAGAATGTTTTTCCCCCCATATGCTTTGCATCTAGCCCTGGTTGTGTGACATTAGTACATAACTATTTATTTATGGCAGCGTGGCCTGGAGTTGCCACCTGGCTAGTTTGTTGCTGACCCTGCCATGACTTTTACATGAAAGCTAGTTGACGATAAGCAGACACCACTTGATCCCCCATTCCTTTCTCCTTCCCCACTTCACTCTTTGCAGTTCACAGCCAACAGATTTTTATAGAAAACATCAGTTCAAGGATGTTTGCTCTAGTTATTTTTTATGGTAACTCTTCTCTCTGGCTCTTGTCCTGCATTCACCCTCACAACGGTTCAGGAAAAAGCCAGGTTTGTTTTTCTGGTTTTTATTTTTAACATGCTGGCGGTTTAAAATTTTGACCCAAATCCAGTAGATTGTTTAAGAGTTAGCGCCAAGGGAAAAGCACAGTTATGTTGTTGTTTTCATTGGCAGTGACGGTAGTGTTGTTTATTAAGTACAAAATAGAAGCAAAGCAGAAATGTGGTCGAGGTGGTGGTGGTGTTTAGGTGTTATTTATTTATTTACTTTTTTACATGAAATGCTCAGGGTAAGACAATTAATCCTTTGAGGCTCCCTTCTTCCCCGCCTGCCGCTTACCCTGTGCTCCTCCATTCTGTCCCATCTCTCACATCACCCTCCATGCCCCTTATCTGCCATATTCCTTCTAGAGCTGCCTGCCTTTCCATTTCTGAAGTTCCCCTACTGTTTCTCAGTCAGTCAGTCAGTCAGCCAGTCAGTCAGTAATACCAACCACCCACTAAGTGAGGTAGGTCATGAAATGAAAACAATACCAAACTAAAACCACAAAGAACTAGCTACCTGTTTCAAATCAGTCATAAATTGTGTGGCCTTGACCCAGTGACAGCCTCTCTGATCCTGACTGTCCTCATTGTAACCTGAAGAAATGGAACTTTATAGTTCTGATAGGGAGAAAGACTCTACGGATATGAAAGATGCGTATGAAATCATAGCAAGAAAATGTGTCCGAGTGGGGAGTAGTACAGCTCCCTCGAAGAACCTCCAGCCCTGAAAGATGGGCTGGAATGAATGGCTTGACCAGATTTCTTTCTACCAATTCCTGGACGCTGTGAATGATGAACAATTGTAAAGGAGTGTGGGGTTTGGCAGGAAGGCATCAGAAGGTCATTTCAAGAAGAGTGCTAAACACAAAGGACTAAAAATAAGAATGAGCCAAGTCACGCGCATGGGAAAGTTATTCTGGCTGGAGCAAAGAGTTCTAGGCAGAGTGAAAAGGAGTTGAAGATGCTTGACCTTGGAAAGAGTCAGTCTCATTTTTAAACAGTCTGTTGTTCACTGAATCTGCCAAATCCAATGCATGTCTTTTAAAAATAAATACTGACATATTATTTTATTACGTTTTAATGTCTGATTCTATTCATGGAAACTTGCTAAAGTCATCTCATTGCTTATTTTGAAGAAAAATAATTGAAGTCTACTAACTGAATAAAGAAGGAATTAATATTATTTAAGCACCTGTGATGCTCAGACCTTATCCCATTAGTCCCTAATTTATAGGTTAAGAAACTGAAGCTCAAAGCGAGTAAAGGAGTTGCCAGTGAAGTGCCCAAACCGTGATTTGGATCCAAGCTAGTCTGACTGTAGGGCCTCATGTTCTCCATCACAGTGTACTTGTAATTCAAAAAGGAAAAACTCTTTGATTGAACTATCCTTAATTAGCATTTATGTTCTGAACTAGCTGGCCACTTTCTTTGGCTACCAGCAGTGCCTGCTGAAGAAGCAGTGACCTTCAATTTTGACATTTAACCAAACACACTCTAAAAAAAAAATTGTTTGGCCTCTTTGAATAGAAGAGATTGCATATTGTTCTCTTTGCCCTGTGAAGTACCACCTAAAGTGATGCATCTTTTGAAAGCAAAGTTTACATTTCCATACTCGCGGTCCATGAGTGACAGGTCATTTTATCCTGGTCCCAACATAATGCAAGCACTTAGTAGACAATAAAGATCAAAATAACTCAGTTGTTGAGGCTTGCAGAAATTACTTAACTTAATGACTTGAGGAAAACAGAAGAAAAAATACAGAAGGACATTCCACACCATGATGGTGAAGCAGTTAGAGAAGACCAAAACCCAGATGTTTGGTTGCTTCATGAAAGTCAGTGGTGAATGAACTCCTAGTTTGTCAAACCAGGTAGGCTGATTCCAGAAGCAGTTTGTGGTTGGGGGTGGGTATCCACTGAAGACCTGTTACAAAAAGAACCGGTGTCCTGAGCACACATCATTCCGAATGGTATCTCTGTAAGTCTTTGTTATTCAATAACAGTAAGAGCCAGTTGCAGGTGGGGTGGGCGGCACTTACCAAAGGCAGGCACCATGCTAAGCACTTTATACACACCTATTTCCCTTAATTCTCAGATCCAAATTCAAGAAGTAAGTTCTATTATTAAATCCATTCTCTAGGTGAGAAAACTAAGGCTTAGAGAGGTGCTTTCTTATTTATCTCGTCAATTGTTTCACAACATTTTAGAATAGTATTTCTCACACTGTCTGCCTTGAGGGTTCAGTTTTCCCCCAATTTTCCATGGACAATACTTCTATAAAATAAGATAAAAATGAATTACTCAAAAAAAAGAAATTTAAAAAGACAAAGACATATAAAATGCAAGCCCCCAATTGGTTATTATGAGAGTCAATATACTTACAACTACTCTACCAAATTGCTATAAAAGGGTCTAAACGCTTATTCTCAATTTCTGTACCTTTCGCATCAAAACATGTAAGAAACACTTTGAGGACCAACGCGGTTTGCTGATCACATTGTGAGTGGTACTGTAGTGGTACGTTCAAAAGCCACCATCACAAGCCAGGTATGTGCGAAGTGTAGGACGTCACACTTCCATTACTCTTAGGTAGAAGTATAACCTGTTCTTTTTTAGACTTGTAAGTATCAATCATCATTATTATTGCCTTTATTCTACTGTTTTTAGTTCTTCTCAAGTGATGTATATTTATTAAGGTTAGCAGTGCAAATCCTTACAGGCTATTTCATTACGCACCCTATGAAGTTAACACCATGTGTTTTTATGGCATAAAACCTAATTTCTTCTTTAAATTATAAACCCATCAATCAGAGTTTA